CTAGGGTTCTAGCAAGGTGTGCACTGTCTCCCTAGGATAACAAGTCGCCGGGCGGTGGTGGCGCACGCCTTTAATCCCAGCACTCGGGAGGCAGAGGCAGGCGGATCTCTGTGAGATCAAGGCCAGCTTGGTCTAGAAGAGCTAGTTCCAGGGCAGGAACCAAAAAGCTACAGAGAAACCCTGTCTCAAAAAATTAAAAAAAAAAAAAAAAAGATAACAGAAGTCTAGATACTGCCTCCTTTCATGCCTAACTCAGGAATAGTATCTTTAACTCAAGCTTCCTTCTCACAGGAATTGCCTGTCCCTAGCAAGACTGTTGGCTGTGTGAAGGCAAGACCATACTGTGTTACCAACACAAATCTAGTGTCCGGGCCAGTGTTTGGAACATAGGAGGTCTTCAGTAAGTGTTTACTGAATGACTAAGAAGCAGAATTGGTCAGAGGAACGCTGAGAGAAAAGGGAGAATTGGTTATCAAAGCTCATGAGGAGAGCTGGGTATGGTGGAAAAAGCCTGAACCCACCCACTTTGTAGGTTAAAGGGAGGGAGGTGCCAATTGGCTAGCTTGGGCAAATTTTTAAAAGGACTAAGAAAGAAGAGGACTAGGGAACTGAGGTCAGAGGTAAAGTGTTGCCTAGCACCAAGAGATCCCAGGTTCAGTAGCTGGCAATACAAACAGCCCACTCTCAGAACTACTTCTGCAAAAAGGGATTTTTAGCTAGAAGGTAATGGGAACTAAAGGGAGGAAGAAAGAAGAAAGCAGGATGATCGAAATAGAGGATGCTAGCTGGGGGTGGTGGCGCACACCTTTAATCCAGCAGAGGCAGAGGCAGGTGCATCTCTGAGAGTTCGAGGCCAGCCTGGTCTACAGAGTGAGTTCCAGGACAGCTAGGGTTGTTACAGAAAAAGACACCCTGTCTCAAAAATCAAAAACAACAAACACAAACAAACAAACAAAAGTCACTGACTTTCCTGACCCGGGAGGCTTATGCTGGGTTTAGGAGGAAGCAAGGAGAACCCTTCCGTCAAAGTGGGCAAATTCAGGAGAGACACAACTTGGCTAGAAGAGAACCCAGGTGAAGGGAAGTTGGGGAGCTTTGAATCTGGCGCTGGGTTTGCATTTGATGCTGAGCCTGGGGGGGAGTGGTCTGCGAAAGACTGGGGCACCGGAGAGGAAACAGCAAAGAAGTCTTCTTACTGACCCCCCTCTATTAGATGGAGAACTTGGGAGGAGAGGCCTCCTACTTCTGCTCTGTAGCGCCGCCCTTGAGTACTATTAGGCGAATTCTACCGCGCGAATCTGGAAGTGGCTGAAACCGCCGGCTGAGTGCGGACAGCAGGGCAAAGATCGTGGTGGTGGCTTCTTCCGCACCTCAAGGGAACTCTCTAGACAGTCTACAGCGTCTCCAGTGAGGATACGGTTTTTGCTAGTGGATGTCAAGCCAGATCTAACCACAAGGGGGCAGAAAAAAGCAACCCTTAAGGTCAGTACCTATCTCTATCCCGCTCCCAACTACTCTCACCTGAGGCCAAGATGGGCGGTGCCTCACCTGGCTCTCACCTAGAGTTCCGTTAACCCCTTCCTGCCTAGTCTGAGTACTTTCCCCAGGCAGTCATTCTTATCGGAATTGGGGGCCAATTTTGATCGGAGGTAGGGTGTCCAGCCTGGGGTAGGGAGGCCAGGGTGTAGGTGAAGTCAGGGTTTCCAGGAGCTCAGACCCTTGTCCTTGTCCTAGCTGGAGCCTGGGGAGGCTAGAATTCTCTGCCTTAGATAGGTAGGTGACCTCTCAGAGCATTGAAAGCCCTGCAGGTCACAAGAGAGGCAAAGGAAGTGGTCACTGGCGCTGGAACTCCCGGGACAAGCTTTAGTGGAGACTGCTCAAGCAACTTCAAAATCCAGACTTCCGCCTTCATGCAGCCATCAATCTGTCAAGGGACTTCAATTGAGGCGGGGGGGGGGGTAGACCACGAGTAAAGGGAAGATAACAGATGACGGGAGCCGGAGGTAGGCAGTTAAAACCGGGTTCGAGAGCGGACCGGATTCAGCAGCTCTCAGGTGTGTCCGACTTTGCGAGTTGTTCCTCCAGTTACTGGCAGCCTTTCAGGGCTCAGATCAGCCGAGTTCCGTGATTGCGGTCCGGGCCTTAAGGTGTTAAACTGTGAGTGGGGTCCGGAGTCCCTCCCTCCCTCCTTTGCGAATCAAGTGTCACCACCTCCAAGTCCACCAGGCTGGCACGCTAGGAGTTAAGTCTGCCCGCAATCTGCAAGACTGGAGCCAGAGAGGGGAGGAGGGGGACGGGGGTGGGGGAGCAAGGAGATGGGGGAAGCAGACTGCAGGGAGGCAGCGCCAGGAACCCCCTCCCTAGGGACCTGGCCCCTGGGCCCCCAGCCCCAAAAGGGGCCCTGCCCTCTCCAGGGTCGCGCTCTCTTCCCCCTCCCTGCCTGCCCCCCCCCCCCCCCCCTCCAGCTTTGTGTCCCCAGGAGGGTGGGCTGCAGGATTTCCAGCCAAGCCTTGGCTGCCTGCTCAGTTTTTCCAAACCCTCCAGTCGGAGAAGGCGGGAGCCCTGTCAGGATAAAAGTCCCTCCCCCTGCCCCTGCCGGCCCCCTCGCCCAGCCTGGAGTTTCCTGCCCCCGCAGCTTTTCCAAACTCCTTTCCCTTTCCGACCCTGGCCCCAGCGCCCCCTAGCCCCACCTTTATTGGTTCCCAAGTTCCAAGTTCAGGTTGGAGGGGGTCAGGTGGACTCCACAGTCTTAGAGAGGCGCTGCTAAAGCCTCGCTCGGCCGGCAGACCCTGAGATCTGCGGGGCGCCTGCCTGATTCTCAGCCTGGGCCCGCCCCAGCCTGGGACTCGGCCTCTTGGCCACAGGGGAAGGTGGTTCTTGGGGTCTCCCGCTCCCGGAAGGAGGCGGTGCTGGGGACGTCGGGACAGCTGGGCGGTAAGGTCGGTGCGGCAGATGCCAGGCCCTAAGGCAGGCTTCGAGGAGGGGCAGTGTTCCCAGCGCTGGCACAGCTCTGTCCAGAAAGTCTATTATATAATAATCACCATCTATCAGAAAGCCAGGCAGCTGGAGAGAGTGGGGAAGCCAGGATGCCTGCATCCGCGCCTCATCCAGGACCCAGAAAGGTGTCTCCACCAAGACAGGCACAGTGTGGGCACAGCCCAGCGATCAGATGATGGGGGGTCCAGGGCTAGTGAGGGGCGCTGGGCAATCTGGCGGCTGCCGTGAAACCCCACCCTCAGAACTCTGACGGGCAGTGCCCCGAGCCAATGATTGAAGTCACTATGGGGTTTGCGGTTAACCCTTTCTTGGGTCCTTGCTTCAGAGTATAGCGTCCACAGAATTTCCCCTGAACCACGCCTACCTACACGGGCTAGTGCACGCTGGAAAGAGGTGCCAGCATTATCTGTGAATTCTGATCACTCCAGAAACTGGAAGGTGGTTAATCTCAGATAACAGGCTTGGGCACCCTCACCCCACCGTCCAAAAGTAAATTTTATTACAAGATACGGTTGTGGGGTAGAGTTTCCAGAAATCGCCTCGGGAGCTTTGGCACAGCGACAAGGCCTCAGAAACAGACACCTTCGTGCACTTACGTCCATGCCGCACTTTTACCGGCGACAGGGACACTCACTGGCACACCTGTGACATTTCCCGTGATGCAGCGACACACGGAAGCACGGTGTCTCCCCTAGCTGGCCAGTAGAGGGAGCCGCTCGATTCCGGCAAAGGGCCACCCGGTCCCCCTTCCTGGCCCTTCGGCTCCAGGGTTCCACCCAGAACTCGTGGCTGCCCAAAGCTGGGCTCTCTGTATTCAGATCTGGAACCTACGTTGGGGGAATGAGTCACAGCCACACCCAGGAGAGCGCTCCACTTGGCTGCTCCATGGGACATACCAAACACTCTTGGGTTTTACTAAGTATTACACTAGAAACTCCTACAACCCAGCCACCATTCCCCTGACCGATTTCTGGACCTACTATGAACAGGATTGTGCCAAAGGGAATCAATCATAAGAAGGGCTGGACTTGGTGGTATATACTTTTAATCCTAGCACTTGGGAGGCAGAGACAGGTGAATCTCAATGAGTTCGAGTCCAACCTGTTCTACATAAAGAGTTGCAGGCTAGCCATGACTGTATAGTGAGTGAGACCTTGTCTCAAACAAAGAAGGCCAAGAGGCTTGTCATTTACATGATGGGAGACTGATACCCATAAATAACTGTGAGGGTCCCGTTTGTGAGCTGGTCCCCTGTCTGCGGTCAATCATATACCCTAGGGACCCTAGAGAGAGGAGAAACCCAACTTCATTGCTCTACTCTCCTAAACTGAGGGATCACAGAGATCAGCAGCTCTGGGCTGACAAAATATTTTTATTAAAAAAAAAATGGTCCCGGGCATAGTGGTCCATTCCTTTAATCCCAGCATTTGGGAGGCAGAGGCAGGCAGATCTCGGCGTTCAAGGCCAGCCTTGTCTGCATAGTGAGTTTCAGGACAGCCAAGGCTACAGACATTTTGTCTCAAAACAGCAACCAAACAAAAAACAACCCAAAACATGGTCATTTGATAATGCATATCAAAGTGCTCTGTAAATCGTTATGTTATCACAATACATTTTATAGTTATATTCTCTCCACTTTCAGGGTTTTATTTATATTTTAGGTAGAATCTCCTATTTGCTTGCCCTGTTTGAACTGAGGTTCCACCTACTGCTGAGGGTGACCTTGAACTCCTGATCCTCCTGCGGTGCTGAGGGGCTTCATTCAGGGCTTATGCCCCTGCCCTCCCTCTGGACCTTCTGAATCGTGTCCTGTGCCTGGCTCCTGGCACCATCAACCCATTCAGTCACTATTCACTGAAGCCCGAGTGTGCAAGAAACACAGGGACTGGGCTTCAGGAATCTTGGGCCAGCCAAATATACAGACAGAAGAAACAAGACACAACATGGAGTCAGTCCTGGTGTGTGTGGCATCGATGTGACAGTGTGTGGGGGGGAGAACAGAAGAGACAGCTGGCCAGTGTCCTTTCTTGCTGAAGGAGTCAGTACCTGTCACTAGGCGAGGGGGCAGTGAGATAGGAGAAAAGTGTCCTGGGGTAAGAGGACTTGAATTCTAGTCCTAGGTTCACTACTTTCTAGTTGTGCAGCTCTGAGTAAGTGCTTAAGTCGTACAAGCCTCAGTTTCCTCATCTGTGTAATGGGGGCTCTAACACCTTTCTGTAGGTTTGCGGGAACCATTGAGATAGCGTATGACATGTGTTTAGACACTTAGAGCTTTTTTCCTTGCACGTGTCTCCTGTCCCATAGGACACTGCTGATGTTTGTGGGTGCTGCGAATGTATATGTGAAGCCCTTTGAGGTGAGGGAGAGTTTGAGAAGACAAAGGTTTCATTTCCTCAAACATTTTCTTAGCATCCAATTTGCACTGCTGAAGGTTTAATTGAAAAAAAAATTCAGTATGTCCTCAGAGGGAGGGGGGAATGCTCTCAGTGCATAATGGATGTGGGTGGGTACAATAAAGAGGGAAACTGTGAGTATGTGTGTGTGTCCGTCCAGGCAACTCCCACTCTTTCCAAGCCGTGCAGATAGGAGGGTAGGTTTTGTCGGCCCTCGCCACAGCCTCGGATGCTGTGGGTATTTCTCCTCCCTAGACCTCAGGAACCCGGGGAGGAGAGGTGGCTTGAAGGCCCCTTCCCCGCCCAGGGCCAACAGCCTCCTGCTAGCCGGTCGGGCGCCTTACCGAGTCAGACCACTGGGAGGCTGGGGGAGCCGGGTTGGGCGAGGAGTCGAGCGAGATGGGGGAGCTCTTATTTTGACAGGGGCCTCTCCCGGCTCTGGTATGAAGGCAGAAGGAGGCAGCCAGAGAGCCCCGATGCTTATTCAGGCTGGGGAGAGGAGCCGAGTGGAGGGGCGAGCGAGGCTCCGGCAGCGCAGGGGAGCCCGGGGAGGCGGCGGCGCTTGGCGGAGCCAGTGGCCGGACATGCCCCGGATCCGGGGCCGCTGCAGCACCGCCGCCGCCGGGAGCCAGCCGGCCGGACGCCCGCACGCCTGGGTCCCCTGGCGCCGCGCCGCCCCGGGGCTGCGACCTGGACCCTCGGCATTCGACCAACAATAAGCGCCTATACAGCCCCCTCCCCGCCCCGCCGTCCCCGCGGGCCTCGGGGAAAGTGAAAGGAGGAGGCGAAGGAAGGAAGGAAGGAAGGGAGGAGGAGGAGCAGGAGCGGCAGCAGCCGGAGCCGTGAGGTTTGGGCCGAGACCCCAGCCCGGAGCCCCGGCCGGGCGGTGCGCTAGCTCTCCCGCCGCTGCGGGCGCCCAGGACCATGCCCCGCGGTTGGGAGGCAGGAACCCAGGCGACCAGCGCCTCCCGGATACCTGCTCGCGGGCCGGGCTGGTATTGAGATCAAGGCATCCAGGATCAAAAGATCACCGCCTGCCCGCCTTGTCCGTGTCTCCACTGTACTGCTGGAGGATCCCAGTGCACCCACCGACCCTGACCTGGTTATGGCGTTCAGCTCCGGCCTGGCGTGAGGACCCCCAACCTGTGCGAGGTGAGGGTCGGGTTGGGGCAGAGGGCTAAAGTCATGCCAGGCCAGCAGGAGCGCGCCAAGCGAGATCCAGTTTAAATTGGGGAGGGGAAGCTCACTCTGATTGTCTCTTACGTTCTAGCACACACCCCGGGCTGTTTAGGAAGTGGGGGACTCCTCTTGGGTCATTAGAGGATATTCTTAGTTCCTCAACCTGGCTGGCAGCCTCGGAGCACCAGGAGAAGGGCTTAGGGGCAGCCAGGGGACCCTACTACATTAGCTCAGAGAACAAGGCCGGCCTTGGGCCAGCTGGAGCAGGGAACTCTGCCCTGGGGGCTTCTGGGAGATGTAGTCCCCCTCCCAGTCTCGCTAACTCTGTGGGTCCCAGCACCCCTGCACTTACTCCCCTGACTCGTGGGAGCCTCCTGCGGGAAGAAGACTGGGACAGGAGTGAGAGCTGGGGTCATTCTCTGCCCCCAGGCATTGCCTCTGAGCTGTTGGAGCCTCCCCGGCCCGGGATTCCGAGTGGTGTGGGCTTGGCTGGGGGTGGGGCAGCCACACAGTTCCTTGGAGGTTTCTCTGACCTGCTTAGGGAAGGTGGCTCCTTCCTTGATCCGTAGGAGCTCCTAGGGCGGGGGTGGGTGTGGGTGGAGATTTAAGGAAGAGAAGTAAGACTCACGCCTCCTGTAAGGCTGGAGTATGGTCCTGTCTGAGGGCTGCTGGGATTTGGTTTCTGGAGACAGGATCCAGCCTTCCTTTTTCCCTCTTGGAGGCAGAGAAATAGAACATCCCACAAAGCCTGGGAGTCTAAGACTGTCTCTGGAGCAATGAAGCAAGGATTAGCTTCTGTCTGTCTGTCCAGCTTCCTTCCTTCCGGGTTTTTCTGACACCCCCTTCCTCCCTCCTCCTTCTGTCTGCTGCTTGGGGTATGTGTTCATAATTTGTCTGGGGGACCTCTGCTTCAGGAGAAAGAGTGTTGTTTTTGGGGAGGCGCGATGTGCTTCTGAGCTCTAGAAAGGGGTCTCCTCCACCCTGATCTTTTACTCCCCCTCACCCTCCCACTGAGCTGCTTGGTGTTCTGTTTTCCCTGGGAATGTTGCCTGTATTGGATCTGGTACACCACCACCAATGCCAATACTTAGACTTCCTACTTCCTTCTCCTCAGCCTCTCAAGGGGTCAGTCACCTCGCAGGGGCAGGAGTTCCTATGCTGCTGCTCCCTGCTCCCCAGCATGGGCTTAACTGTCTTCTCTGGTCAAGACGGTGATTTCATGGCTCCAGGGGAGGAGCGAGCTCAGTCAGCTCTCAGGCCCCACAGAGGAAGCCTCAGGACAGGCTGAGAATGGCAGGAGGTGAGAAGCAGGGAGGCAGGACTCTGCTACCAGGAAGGAAAACACTATTTCCCTCAGGTGACCCACCTACCTGGCTACCGGGGTTTCTTTGCTCTGTTGCTCTTGCTTGGAATGAGGTTGGGGGGCTCATGAAGAGGCTGGTGGTTCCCAGAGATCTGGAGTTAGAGCGTCAGTGCTGGTTCAAAGTACACATAGCACCCACGATTAGTTAGCAAGTTCCTGGTACCTGGATTATACTGAGCCTTAAACTGAGGGGAGGGGGTGGGTTCCACTTCAGTAACCATGAAGGGCAGTAGCCACCTGGGCAGAGACCTAGTGGGTGGCAGGGTGGCACTGTCGACTCAGCAAGGGCCAGAGTGCTTGGCACCTGCTTTAGATTAGAGGAAATGTGGTACAAAGGGGGCCGTTTGCCTTTGGTGGGGGGCTGGCTGCCTTTGGGGGAAGTGCCTGGGATGGTTCTCCAGGGAGTCCTGGAGTTCAGGGTGTGTGTGGTGTGTGTGTGTGTGGGGGGGGGTAAGAGCACCATGTGGCAGGCTGCAGAAGCTCTGGTGAAAGTGGAGGGAGCCGTCATCCTGCAGCCTCTCAGCCAGGGAACCTTCAGATGAGTTCGTTGCTGAGGGCACCCTCACCCTGCCTCTGGCGCTGCCTCAGGCTGAGGCTCTGTCCCATTGCCCTGGGGCAGCTCTAGGGAGCCAGAGTGTCTGTGTCCAGTCTTCCTGGGATCAAAGGAAGCCTGGTAAGAGGTGGGGGTAGGGGACTGATGTAGCCCTGGTGCCATGTTTACTTTTCTTGAGCGTCTCCTTTGGCGATAGTGAGGTACCTGAGGAGCCTGGGCACCCAAGGATGACAGGGAAATGGCATCCCTTGCTTCCTTGTACCAAAGCCCTGGGCACTGCCCGGGTGCTGACCTGGTGGGGGGAGGGGACAGAGGGGGATGGCACCGTGGGAAAGTGGGCAGCCGTGGGAGCAAAGCGGTACAGGCTGGGTGCCCCAGGCTGGGAGCCTCTGCCAGGCCCGCTCTCCCTGGGGTGGGGCTGGCTGTTCCAGGGACTGGCTCAACCTGTTGAACGCCTGGCTGCTGTAGCTTGGCATCTGTGCCCCTGCTTGCCAGCCCAACAGCTGCCCACCCATAGCCACACTGTGCCCACTGCCCCCAGGGGCCTGAAGAAAGAGGCGTAGATTTGTCCAGCGTGCTTGGTAGGGGCTCCTTCCCGGGCTGGGCATTTCTTCCAGGCTTACTAAATCTTCCCAAGTGTGGACCTCTGAGCTCCAGAGCTGGGGCTGGAGGGCTGGGTGGCCAGGGCCAGAACCTGAGGGGACAGGTAAAGAAGGCCACAGCCCTGAAGCCTCAGAGCTGCTTGGGGCAAGTCACTTGGATGGGTGGCCCTGAAGGCAGCTTGGAGTTAGAGCCTGGAATTTCCTCTGCCGGGTGCCAGGGCCATGCCTCCAAAACCCCACCCCCAGCCTGGCCTGACCTCCCCTCCCTCCCTCCCTCCCTCTGTCCCTCCCTCCGTCCCTCCCTCCCTCTCTCCCTCCCTCCCTCTGTCTACTTTCCCTGAAGGTTGGGGGAGGGACAGTGAGGGCATTCTGGCTAACAGGGAGAGGTGACTTCCTGGGTGTGGGGGTACTCATAGGAAACTGAGGCTGTTCTCATGAAGACTCCCGGGGAGGAGATGTCCCCGAGTGAGGGGACAGTCATCCCCCACTGTTTCTTGACCCTTATTAGCTAGAAAAGCAGAGCCAAGATACTATTCCGGAGAGAAGGGGTGATCACCTTGTCCTGTGGGTAGGTAAGGGGTGTGGTGGCTTCTTATTTTCAGTCCTGAAGGGAGTGGAGGTCCTTTGGGTCTTCACTTTTCCTGTCAGTGGCAAAAGCCAGTGGGAGGCCTTTCATTTGCCCTCTGTCCAGCAGGCAGGGCCCTCCCCTCTTGGTTCTCGGCCAGTTGCTGCACCTAACATGGTAGCACTTTATGGGTCCCGATGCCCACTGACTGAACCACCTCTGTCAGGCCCTTTCCTCCTCCTTGGGCTAGTAGCTCCAAGTTGGCCTGTGTTCCCTCCCCCTCCCTCCCCTCCCTCCCCAGCTTCAGGAATGGCCCTGAATCCAGCCTTTCCAGCATTTCGAAACCGGGATTGTTTTGAAACCCTGAGTGCTTCCCTGCCCGCTGCCCCTCTGCCCCCCCTCCCCCCCAGCTGTCTTCTGGTTTGACTTTCTTCTGTACCTTGCTGGTCATTCTCCATTTGAGTTTGTGTGCTTGCACACTTGAACACACACTGCACTACTTTACTTTGTATGCGGTGTACATGTGTCCTGGAGTGGGTGTGTCTGTAGTTCTGTGTGACTGGCTGATGTCTGGTTGTTCCCTGAGCTCTCTTGGGTTGTCTCTGACTGTGCCGCTCCTGCCTGGGTCTTAAGGAAAGTTTGGGCTATTTTTAGGAGGTGCCTTGAAAGTATGTCTGTCTCTCACTTGTGAGTGTGTGTGTGTGTGAGAGAGGGTTCTTCCTGAGGAGTGTGCTGGAGGTGTGTCTCTGTGTGCTTACAGTCTGCATCTCCTCTGATGGGAACATTGTCTGGGGGGTGTAGTCACAGGTCTCCTACAGCTCCCTGGGACGCGGAGTCCTCTGCCCTTTGATAGGGGAGGGTTTCCTGGAGTGAGGCCCAAGCTTCTGGCAGCTCTGAGGCCTTGGAGAGAGTGGTGGAGCAGGGAGATGCTAGGATAAACTGTTGCCAGGGGCCGGTCCCTCTCCTCCTCAGGCCTTGTGTATTCAGCAGCACCAGGTAATCCTGTGTCCTGAGGGTATGGTGGATGGCTTAGCAAGGGGCCTAGGGTCTAAGGAAACTTGCTCTTTCCACCTCTAGGGTCACCTCCTTCGTGGGAGACCAGGTGCAATCAGTCACAGCTCACCTGGGAGTTGGACGGTGCATTTCCGGCTCAGAAAACATCACTTTTCCACTTAACAGTTGCTTAACAAAACAAACTCAAAATTTAATCCCAAGCAAAAAGTAGAGGGGCCTGGAATCCAGGCATTTGGGGTGGACCATTGCAGCCTTGGTCCAGGGAAGTTCTTATTGCTATCTAGCTTCATTCCCTTCGACTATGGGTAAGGTTCTGCAGGAGGGGAGCTCTGGAATGGTTTTTTTGTTTGTTTGTTTGTTTGTTTCTTCTGGCTAGAGCCAGACTGATGATAGTGTATATATGTTGGTTGGGATAGATAGTAGCTGGGTAGCTGATTCCTCGCTAGGACTCAGTTTGCTTTCTTAGAATCTCAGGTGTAAGCAAATGCTTTTCTGGAAGTCCATGCGGTGGAGGAAGATGGGTCGGGGATATTTGTATGAGTGAAGGCCTATGGAGAGAGCATCGGTAGGTGGGTCCAGGGTAGTCTTTCCCTGTCCCCTCAGGTAGCCTCTGGTCCCCAGTGCAGTGGGAGGAAGGGAGGAAAAGAGAGAGGCCCATGTTGGTACAGTGCTCAGTGACCTAGCAGAGGGAGGGCCTTGGCAGGGAATTTTCAGTTTGTTTCTCAATCTGTCTGAGACATGCATGCGGGCACGTCACTGCAGACACCTTAGGAGCTGAGTCTAGAAAAGTCAGCTGGATGGTGGAATGGCAGGGTGGTGCAGACGGAACCTATGGAGACAGCCTCCTCCCGATGGGCACATTGTGTGGCCTAACCCCTGTCCCTGGAAGCTGGGTGCAGCCAGAGGTCCCCTCCTAACAGTTCCATTTGAGCCAAGAAGTAATACAGGCTGCAGAGGGTTAAGTCTGGTTGGCAGGGACACCCCCACCCCCCCACCCCAGTGCAGCAAGAGAGAGGGAGGAGGGGTGGTTAGCAGCTTGCTCTAGTTGGCGTCTCTCCCAGAATTCTTCGGAAAAGAACTCCCCTTTGACCCCCAGTACAAACTGAGCCCAGCCACCAGCCTCCCTCCCTCCTGCTCTGGGAGCTTCACCCAGTGCCTGCTACTAAACTGCGAAACCTTCCTAACCCCAAGTCCCGGTACCTAGACCAGGTCCCTGGGACTCAGGGGACCAGGGTCGAGGCCAAGGAGACCACATAGGTACACAGGAACCTAAGCCCTTCTCCCTGCCACAAGTTAACCTGGGGGTGATTGGTTTCTGGAAGCTGGGCTCCTTGGGCCTCATCCACCCCTCCCCCCAGGTCCTCAGGCCAGGTCGTGGGAGTCCTCCACCCCTCCCTCTCTCTGTGGGGCCTAGCTCTCAGGGAACTAACTCTGAGGTCTTCCAGTGCCTTCTCCTTCCTGCTTCCAGGACAGGGAGGGGGAGTGGCGTGGTGGGGCAGCTGGGTCAGCCCTGGCTCCTGGCCAATCCACAGAAAAGAAGGGAGGGGGCGGCTTGAGCAACTCTGAGAGACTTCCTGGAGCTGTAGGTTGTCTGTAAATTGAACATGTTTATGGCGGGGTGTTGGGGAGGGTGTTGGGGTTCTGGGAGGATCAGGGGCATAGGTTACTGGTCAGGGACTTTTAGCTGTGACCATCTCTCCACAGGGAGCCCCCATCCCAGAGCACACCCCTGAGCCTGAACCTGACACACATTACCCAGAGGTGAGCGGGTCCATGTGCTTGTGTGTTTTCTTTGGCCTTCCAATCTGCATCTGCAGTGGCTGCATCATTCTTGCTTAGCCTCCTGCTTGCCTTCTTTTGAGCTCCCTCCTCCTGGCTTTCTGCCCTAACTTCTTGCATTCTCCTTTGTGTCTGGGTGGGAAAATAGCCTTTGACTTAGAATACTGTTGGGATGAAGGGTGTGTTGGTCAGGGAAGGGTTAAAGCTGGGTGCCAGTGAAAGTTCTAGGCCTTTTCTAAGTCTTTTTCTCTGGTGGGAGATTTGAAGTCTGTCGACCGACTGGAGGGCAAGGTGGATTTGCTGGTTGTCCCAATTCCTTGTCCCCACTCCTTGGTTTTGGTTTCTACTGGTTGAGTCAAATCCAGGGTGGCCATTGGCCACTAGCCACCACTGTAGTATGGTTTCTGCTGCTGCCCTGGCTCCATAGGCAGGCACACTAACAACACACACACACACACACACACACACACACACACACACACACACACGCGCGCGCGCGCGCTTCCCTCCTCACTCCCCTCCCTCCCTCCTCCTTACTTAGCAACAACTCTCTGAATTCACAACAAACACTCCCCTGAGCTCCTGTCTGACTAGGGAAAGAAGTCTGGAAAGGGAAGGAGGGGCAGGGAGGAGGAGCCTTTTTCCTGGACTGTCCTCTGGAGGGAGAACTTCTAGTTCCTTCACCTAATCCCACCACAACTTTCCCTGCTGGAGGCCGCGATCTTTAGGGAGGAAGTGGCCCTTCTTCCAACTTGGACCGTGAAAAAGTGGGAAGCGATGGGACAGGTGGGTTGGGAGGGGGGCTTGGACTTCAGTCTTTTCTGGAAAGTCCCACTTGACCTTTGACTCCCACCTGAGGCTGCAGGCTGGTGGGGGTGGGGGGGTAAGTGAGTGAGTAGGACTTCTCATAGCCTTGGGCAGCTCAGCAGGAGCTTGTGCTGGAGCTCTGGAAACCTGCCTTGAGACCTTGCTGACTTTGTTAGGGACGTGGCTAGGTGAGGAGGTAACGGATGGGGGTGGGTGGGGCTGAGGAGGCCTGAGAACTTTGCTCTCTGAAAGCCTAGGCCTGGCTCAGCAGGGCACCTGTGCAGAGGCCACAGGGTTCAGGGCTCTCTTTGATCTCTTCCCCAGGGATGAACTGTGGCCTTTAGTGCAGGACCTGGTACCCATCAGACCTAGAGGGAGGGTGGGAGGGTGCATGGGAAGAGTGCCAGGCCCAAAAGTGCCTTAGGTGAGGGGCCGACTCCTTGAAGCAACTACACAGGGTTATGGTTACTCTATGCAGCGTCTACACAGGGCCATGGCTAAGAACCCAATTGCTGGAGTGTTGAGCTTCAATCCTGGCCTTGTAATGGTGGGCTATGCATCTTGGGCAAACTACTTTAACTTTTCTTTCTTGCAAAGAGGGAATAATAAAAGGGCTTTCTAAGCTAGGCATGGCAATTCCAGGAACTGAGAGGTAGAGGCAGGAGGATCTCTTCAAATGTGAGGTCATTCTGGATTAGAGCGTGATTTCCAGTCTCAAACACACAAACAGACCAGCAAACTCCAGCACCCCAGGAACGGAAGAATAAAGTATTTTCCGAGACTGGCTATGGAGGTGGGAAGAGCCTGTCTGTAGTAGATGCAACTATTCCGTGGCTGAGGAAGGATTCCCCAGTCCTCAGGAGTTCAAGGCCAGCCTAAGTAACACAGTAACACTTTATCGCAAATAATAAGAAAAGGCTAAACTAGGGATGTAGTTCAGCTAATAGAATGCTAGTTTATCATTCATGAAGATCTGAGTTCAAGCCTAATATCAATTGGGTGTAAACCAGGTGTGGAGGTACCGGCAAGTCCAGCACTCTGATGGGAGAAGCAGGAAGATCATGGGTTTGAGGCTGTTCTTAGCTGCTTAGTAAATTGTTTCTTTGCTTTTTTGTTTGTTTCTCTGTAACAGCTCTGGCTGTCCTGGAACCAGGCTGGCCTTGAATTTATAGAGATCCACCCACCTGCCTCTGCCTCCTGAGTGAGTGCTGGGGTTAAAGGAGCTCACCACCACCACCACCCTGCTTGTTTTTGTATTTTGTATTTTGTATTTTTGAGGCAGGACCTCGCCTTGCAGACCAGGTTGTCCTTGAATTCTCAGAGCTCTGCTTGCCTTTGTGTCTTTCTTGGGATTAAAGTCATGGGCCAACAGAGCTGGCAAGACTCTTCTTGTTGCCTCATGTTGCCTCAGTTTCCCTACTGTTGGTGCTGGCTGATGCTGTGATTGCAAGTTTTGTAGTTGCCCTTAGACCTGGAAAAAGACTTGGGTTCTGAATCCCCTCCCATACCCCCATGGCCTTGCCCTTGCAGTTCTGGGCCCAGCCCTTCTTCCTCTCTCCCTCCCGCCCTGAAGCTGTTTGTTTGCTTTAGTTTTGGAGCCCTCCTACCACCCAGCCCCTGCTGCTCTGTTCTTTCACCGGACTGAAGGAGACACTGTCCTTAAATGGCTTCAATGGCCTCTTTCTTTCGTGGTCTGCGAGTCAGGGACCTTCCTTAGGGAGAAATGTGGCAGTGTGGCACTGTGAGGTGGATGACAGGGTTAGGCCTGCCTCCTTCTCCGAATATGGAGGGGTGAGTGTGCTCAGCACCTCACAGGGAGGCAGGGAGGGCTAGCCTCAAGCCCAAAAGGAGAGTAGGGGAATATCAGTGTCCCTGATATCTAGGGTGATACTCCTAGAATCCGTCCCTAACGTCTCAGCAGGGGAGAATGTGAGTACCAGTGGGTGACCAGGATGCTCCAAGATCCTGGGGGGGGGGAGCGGCTAGGATGGTTGGGGCTGGAGCTTGGAGACCTCTGCCTGAGGAGCTTGCAGGGCTAGATAACCCACAGAAGAAAGGACCTAAGCAGACAGGTGGCTAGGATCTTCTGGAGATTTGGAATAGCAGGGCTTGGCTAGCAGGTGCCCTCTGTGGCCTTGGACTAGGAGGGCTGGAGTAGAGCTCCCATGCTGCCCTGCCCACCCCTGGGACTGAGAGGACTTCCCCTGGGCTTGGGAGGTGTGGGCTTATCTGCCTGTGCTGCTGTGCTTAGTGCTTAGCTGTTGAGCTGGCTATGTGTCCTGTGCCCAGCCTCTGGGTCTGCTCCTTGGGCAGGCTGGGGCTATTTTGGGATCGGGCTGGGGCTCTGGGGCTGGTTTCAGATGTTCCAATGTGAACAGGAGAAAATGGGAACAGATGGCTGGAGGGTTCTGATCAGCGGGTCCTGCTGGGAACAGGATTATTTTTAGGACCTTGTTAACCCTTTTGGGCTTGTGGGGCCCCCCTGAGAGGTATAGCCCTTTCTAGTTGAGAAGACAACAGGGTTTCTTCCTTGTTCAGCTTCTCCACTGTGCGGTCTCTCTAAGACCCTCTCTACTCTTTAAGGAGATCCATGGCCAGAGACTAAACTCACACTTCCTGGTTCAACACTGCACGTATTGCTATTAAGGGGTCAGACTGGAGGGGGTACAGGTCACACTAGAAGGGAAGTCCCCCTTCACTTACCTCCTGGGTAAGATCTGGGGCTGAGAGAGCTACAGATAGCTGCTCTCAGCATTCCTGCTCTGAGTAGGAGAAAGTTGGGGAACTCAAGGGTGCTCAGGGGCCATGTTAGTAGAGTGAACAAACTTCTTCACATGGCAAAGAAAAGCCATGTCGCTGGGTAGCACTACAATGATGCCCACGTGCCTCTCCTGCCTGAGTACTCAGGGTACATACCTAGATGGTGCTTCTCATTACAGACGCACCTTCATGACATGCCACATTCTTGGGTACTCCGTTAGCAAAGACTGCCCAAGGGACTTCGTCGAGGGCTAATATGCCATAAATATTTTTAGGTGGTTTCTGTGATACCTCACTTTGTGATTTTTCCCTGTGAGTAAACAGAGTCTCAAAGGGATGAAGAGGTGGACTTGGCATGATGTGATTGGCACTTCGTCTGCTCAGCTGCAGAGTAGATTCTCATTCAGTCGTCTTCCCATACCTGCCAGGGTCCCAACCCCGGTCAAGGCTACAGTGGGCATCACACCTTCTCAGAGGAAGGTTTATGGGATGGTGTGGGAAAGGAGGCCTTGGGACAGGGGACCCTGCCTGCCAGGACTGACACTAGAAACCCAGTTTGGCCTTCCTGTCTGCCCTGCAGGAGGATCACAGGCATACATCCGGTCTCATCACCCCACCCCCACCAGCCCTGGCCCAGAAGCCCCTGCTTCCTGGAGGGTCATGGCTGCCGGCATGTCAATGTAGACAGGGCTAGATGGCCATCCAGGTACTGCTGGTGCCGAGAGCTTGGGCAGGCAGGCAAGGCAAGGGATGGAGGATGTGTCTGCCTCTGGCAGTACCTGGGGCAGAGAGCAGAGCGAGGCAGCCAGGCTTTGGGCGAGGTCCCGTCCGTGGTGTGCCGTCTGTGCCAGCAGCCTGCCCGCACTCCACTCCTCCCACAATGGCCCCATTGTTCCCAGTAGCCAGGCAGTTTGGAGGAGGTTCCTCGGCCACCCATGCCCCCCTAAATAGGGGCCAGATTAACCCCTTGGGAGACAGGACCAGGTGAAGGCCCCCAGGAAACGGCCTGGCTCACTTTTTCCCCTGTTGTAGGAATGCTGGCTTGAGAAGTCATTTCCTAGCCACACAGCAACAGGCCCCCTCCTGAAACTGGGGTCTTCCATCAGGGAGAAGTAGCACCTAGACCCTCTCCTACCCCAAGGCTGGTGCAGGTGCCAGGGGGCAGGAAGTGCCAGGGGGTGGCAGTGAAGCCCAGATATATTTGGGCGGTGGGGCTAATTCCAGCCACTACCGTCTGCTCTGCTGGCTCCTGCACTCCTTTCCTTCCTGTGAAACCAGAGCTGGGTTGGGCCTAGCTCAGGATTTCGGTGGATTTAAAGAGGCAGCGCCATCTCTGCCAGCCTGGCTTCCTCTCCCCCTCCCCAGATAGGGTCTGGGTCAAAGCGATCTGGAGGACTTTGAGCACCTCCTTTGCCCTGGGCTAACCCCTGGCCTTGGTCTCTGTCAGGGTACTAGACTTCTGGCACTCCTCTCTCCCAGAGCCTTGGGCGGGTGGGGTGGGCGGGGGTGGGCTGTGGTTTCCTGTGTTGGCTGTTTGTGCCTGGCCCAGAGTGCCCGCTGCCTGCCTGGGCTTCCTGCCCTGTCTTGTTTCCTAGTGCCCCCCCACCCCTCCTCACCCCTCTCCCTAGGGGGAGGGAGTAGCTAGGGATGGGGCAGCAGTCTTTTGGGGGCACCCTACTGCCAGGGCATGATTGCTTCCTGAGGTCTGGATGCACAGGTAATGGTGGGCTCTTCTGGCAATGTCAGTTACCCCTGTTATGCCCAGGTCTGCGGAGTCCCCCAAGACCAACCAGGAGATCGAGTCCCCATGTAAAAGCAAAGAGACTTTATTCTGTGCAAGTTTGCAAACTCAGTCTCTCCGCATGTCCAATGTATTGGAATAAACTGATAGCCCTGGGCTCAGTTAGAGTCAGGTTTTTATAGAAGTAAAGGTGGGGGTGAGGGGTTTCTAAGGCTCAGGACCCCTGATTGGCTGACATTTGTCTAGGGGTGGCAGCTGATCCACAGTGGTCCACGAAGAGCAGACCGGAAAGAGATCCCACAGGTGCTCTGTGCAAAGATTCTGAATTGCACATTTTTGGGATCAGCAGACTTCTCCTGGTCCTGCGGGGTTAGGATTGTTTGACCTTACCTGGGGCTATAGGTGGGGCATGTTGGCTAGAAACTCTGCTGGTAAAACCTCCCCAGCAAAACTGTTTTTTTTTTTTTTTTTTTTTTTTTTTTGCATGGACTCCTGGGAGGGGAGTTGTTGCTAGGAACCCAGGCCAGGGGACCCCAACCCCGTGAAGCCTGGAAGTCTCCATCTAGAGGGTCCCTAACAGAATAACACCCTGGGTCCTTCAGCAGATTTCCTTGAGCTACTCTCTAAATCCCTGACCTCCCCACCCGGCTGAGTCACCACCTCAGGGAGAGGGAGTAACTTGAGTACTGGAGGAGGGTTTCTGAGGATCAGGGGAGTCCTGACACCCAGGAGAAAGGGGAATTGGGACGTTATCTGGGGAGCTGAATCTCCTTCAGCCAGAGGCCAAGAACCCTGTCCCATGTATCTGCATGTGGGGACATGGGCCGTCCAAAACATTTCTCACTTCTTCTTTGTTGTGTTTGTTTTTGGTTTCCTTGGTCTTGCTAAGATTGTACAGAGGTCCTCTGATGAAATATTTGCTCTACTGATGACATCACTAGCCCTGAAGTAAAATGTATTTTGTGTGGTGGTGATGGTGGGGGTGGGGGTGGGTGAAAGAGATAGCATCTCACTACAAAGCCCTGGATGGCCTGGAATTTGGTATGTAGACTGGGCTCCTCTTGAAATCACAGAAAGTCAGCCCATATCTACCTAATTGAAGACATAAACCACCATACCCAGGAAGAAATATTTATTTTGTGGAGAGACTTACAGTATGATTTACTGTAGAGTCTTATTGTAGAACTCATTGTGTAGCTTGTGCTGAACTTGAATCCATAGAAATCCTCCTGCCTCAGCTTCCTGAGCCACAGTGCCTGGCTTCTCTGAGATGGTTGTGAGCAAGGCAGAGAGGCTAGTGGGCTGGCTGGCTTGGTCAAGCAGGCTCCCAGCATAGAAGCAGGCAGATTACCACTGTGTATATGAATGCCTGGCCAGCTGGGGGAGAGTTGTGTTAAACAGGGGTGGCACAAGATACCTGGAGCTCCGCCTCCTGCTGGGGTTGTTCTCACTAACCCCTAATCTGTGGCTCACAGTAGAGGCAAGCGACCCCACTTCAGAACCCACTAAGTATCTGGCCTGGATCCTGTCTCAGCCTCCCAAGAACAGGGACCACAGACCCATGCTGGCCCCAGTTTCTTTGTCTTGGCACCTTTGCTCCAGGCACATTCTCATGGGCTTGCTCCTGGCCTTTCACTTAGGTGACTTGCACCTGCTCCCTGTTTGTGAGCTCACGTCACCTTTCCACACTCTGAGAGGATTGTGTTCCCAAAGCTGCAGTCTTCCCTGACAGGCCTTATCTCCAGGGCCTTCTGGCCTGGTGCTGGGACGGCTCCTTGTGCATTCATTGCTGAAGAATTGCCATTATCAGCCCACCTACCTGCCAGTGTGGGACTGAGTCTAGAGGAAGTGGGGTCTTTGGGAGCCAGGGCTGACTCCTGTAGGGCAGACAGGGAGATGGGAAAGTCCTGACTTGTCTGTGCTTGACTCAGCTTGCCTTGCAGTTGGGTGGGAGCAGGAGGTGGAGTCCTGGGGGGGGGCACGTTTAAGATTAACTGGGGCCTCAGGGAGACAACTAAGTTCCTAGCAGCCCCTCCCTGGATTAGTAGTTTTTTGTTTGTTTGTTTTGTTTCTTTTCTCCAACTGGTAGCTTTTTAGGGAAGGTTTTGAGATAAAATCCTGCTAGGTAGATGAGGCCAGCAGGAACTCATTCTAACATAGGTTGGGCTTGAACTTGTGATTGTCCTGCCTCAGCCTCCCAACTGCTGGGATTATAGGTGTGAGTCACCATGCCAAGGCCAAGTCTCCAGTTTTTGAGACCCTTAACAGAAAGTAGGAGATGTCCTTTCCCCTGACCATTCCCATCCCCTTGATAGGCTCTGGGGCTCAAATGGGAAAAGCCCACCGATTTGATTTAGGCTGAGATGAACAGTCATGGCTCCACCGGGACACTGTAGTACCTGGAATGGGGGTTCTGGGTTGCCCATGCTGTCATGGGACCCAAGAGGAAACAGCTTTCTTTTCCCAGACCTCAGTTCCTCTTTGTGAAACTGGGTAGATAGCTCTAAGAATCAACCAGGCAAGGAGGTGAGAGCGGAAGCTGCGTGTCCATCATTCACCTGCCTGGTTTTCCCCAGGAGTCCCCAGTGATTCCTGCTTCTGATCTTCCCTGGTTGTGTTGTGGTATGCCTGTGCCTGTGTGTGTGTGTGAGGGGGGGGGTGACAGCTGCAAGCTAGGCCCTGGACTTTGGAACCTTCTTTTCCAGGTACAGAAGTGGAGTGGGAAGGCCAATGTTCCACAGGGGTTAAGTTAAGGTTAGACGTCCACAGTGTACCTTGTCGGGCCCCCTTACTCGGAGGTCCCAGCCTAGCTTCTCACAGCTGAGCAGGGAGCCGGAGTGTGCACGGGTGTTTCTAGCTGGACCTGTCAGGGGAAGAAGCTCTAGGGTCAAAGACTCCTCCCCTTCCCTCCCCCACCTTTTACCGGGATCGCTGCTGGGGGCGGGGAAAGGGGACAGAGCTGGGGGCGGTTGGGTGAGGCGTCTGTGTTTGTGTAAGTCAGCTTGTTGGTGTATCTACGGCCCACTGTGCATTCTTTGTGACTGTCGGGCTCAACTTTCTATGGCTCCCCCGTGTCTGGGTCTCAGTCTTCACATCTGCTCAATGAGTCTGCCGGCTCTCACTCCTCTGGGCTGCCGGCTGTCTGTATGCCCCAGGCTGCCCGGCGGCTCCCGCTGGTTCGCACTGCCCAGTCCCTCGGGCACACCTCCGCCAGCTGGCCGTGAGCATCTCTAGTTTCCTGGGCTCCGTGCGTGTCTTTGTCTCCCTGTCCACGTGTGAGCTGTAAGTGTGCGTGAGTCAGAGTTAGGGTGCTTGTGCCCCAGCTTTGCGTGCCCAGTCTGCCCGGCCGGCTAGTTCCCAGTCAGTCCTTAGGGGACTTGTCTGTGTGTCTGTCCGCACGCCCTCCAGTGGGCCTGTGAGATCCACGCTGCAGCCCTGCCCGCCTCCCTCACCCTCGCTCGCTGCCTCGCTGGCTCTCTCGCTCCTTGCTCGCTCTGTCTCTACACTCTGGCTCTGCCGAAGGGGGAGGGGTGGGGGTGCAGGGGAGGGGGAGGGGAGGCTCCTGCATTCTTGCGGTCTGGGAGGAATCTGAGCCAGCGTTACTGGTCTCCAGAAGAGCCCAGCTGCAGCCCCGGGGCCCCGCCAGGCCTCTTGCTGCCCGCCCGGGCCTGCCGGGATGGGCACGGGCTAGGCCTGGAGCTGGGGGCGGGGCAGGGTAGTGCCCCCACCCCGGCCCCTAGAAGGCTGCAGCGCCCGGGGACAGGGCGCAGTGTTGGGGCGGGGCGTGAGGGATTCCCGAATCCTGGGTAAGGGGCGTGTCTGGGAGCGGGAGTCCCCCAGTGGGCCAGAGCAGACCTCGCACAGCCACCCCAAGCGTCACTTTTGCGACCTAGCCTATTAGTGAATTCTGACTCTGCAGCCCTCGGGAGGGGGAGGTGTCCAGGGTGAGGGGCTTGCTAGATACTGCAAGCTCCTTGAGGACAAGGTGCGGGAGGGATGAGGACTGGACTGGTCTTTAGGATAGAGAAGTCTCTTTCCACTCCTACTCTACCCTATCCAGTTCCGTAGTCCCGGGGCTGTTGGGTTCTCCCTTCCCTCCCCTTCATACACCCCCTCCTTAAGTCACAAGTTTTCTCTTTGGGGCTTGTTGCTGCAGTCCCTGCTCCAGTACCGAGTACCTGTCTGGGCCCTGGGCACGCACAGGGGCCGTAGCCCCACTGTGTGTGGGAGCCATGAGGATCCTGGCTAACAAGACAAGGTGTGTGGGTGTCACGGAGGGTGGGATACGTGTGTCTGGAGAGCGGGGAAGGGAAGGGCCCATGGTGATGGGGCCAAACTGTGAAGCTTTGCCGGTTTGGAGAGAAGTCCCCTGAGCACCTGGCTTCCTGGCCACCAGTGGGCTGAAGGGAGGTAGAGTGGGGACGTCTGGGCCCAGGCAGGAGCTGGTTGGCAGCCTTAGCGCCTGGGCCCAGGGGGCAGAGGAGACTGGCAGCTAGCTATGCCTGATGCCTCTGGTCCTTTCTATTTCTTCCCTCCTAAAACAGTTAGAGCAGACCCCCCCACACACACACTAGTATTGGGGTGTGAGGAGGATGCCCTCCAGCCTCAGTCTAGTTGGGTGTAGGAGCTGGAGTGGGGGCGGTGCCTGCCTCCCTCCTCCTCAGGAGAAGCGGGCAGACAGGGCCAGGCGGCAGCAGCAGGGCTGAAATAAATCTGAGCTGGTGTGGAATGAGGGGGGATAAATATCCTCTCCCGTGATGTGATCTTTCCAGCGGCTATTAATAGGTCTCCGGGGAGGGGGAGGCGGTGGGGGGAGCGGGCTGGAGCTTAAAGGGCCCGCAGCCTAGGCTGCAGGAATCCTTGGCTTCAAGCAGCACTCCTCGGCTTGACATCCCCCCCCTCCCCTCCCCCCTTCTGTCCCTGCCTGCCGACAGGGTCTACTGGCCCACCCTCTTCAGGCCTTCCCCCGCAGGCTCTGGGGAGTCTTCTGGACCAGTGGGTACCACTCTCAATTGTGCTGTTCCCTACTCCCCTAGGGACTAGGACGGGGCTTGAGCAGTGACTCACAGGTCCTGTGGCCCTTCTCTGAGAGTTGTTAGGACACAGCATAGTTGAGGTTTGGGGCCTTGGAAGGAGTCTTAAACCCTAGAAGGTGCTAAGAATGCATCAGACGCTGGAGAGACCAGGCTGCTAGGGAAGCTGGTGGTGTGGAGGCTGAAGGTAGGCAGATCCTACCAACTCAGAGCCCCAGTTTCCCTTTGATTGGGCCTAGGAGATAAGGAACATCCTCCATCTCCGCTCCCCTAAGGGGACAGAGCTCTGCTCTTATCTGAGGATCACACCGAGGCAGGGAATAGCAGGTGGTCTCCAGATAGCACCTAGCCACCCCCTACACATTAGCTGAGGCTAGGGAGCTAAAGTCCAGTCGTGCCTACCTCCTTGTAGGATTAACCTGTCCTGTCCTCCCTTCTCCCAGGTTACCCCACCCCAGGAGGCGAGAAGCTCCAGGGAGTCCGCCGCTGTCCCCTCGCGGCCACTGTCCCCCTGCCCCAGCCAAGCCAATGCACCCAGAAAATAAATTGACCAATCATGGCAAGACAGGGAATGGAGGGGCCCAATCCCAGCACCAGAATGTGAACCAAGGACCCACCTGCAACCTGGGCTCCAAGGGCGTGGGGGCGGGGAGCCATGGGGCCAAGGCCAACCAGATCTCACCTAGCAACTCAAGTCTGAAGAACCCCCAGGCAGGGGTACCTCCTTTCAGCTCACTCAAGGGCAAGGTGAAGCGAGAGAGGAGCGTGTCTGTAGACTCTGGAGAGCAGCGGGAGGCTGGGACTCCATCCCTCGACTCAGAGGCCAAAGGTACGACATCCTCTCGCCTATAGACTTTAGCATCACCAAGACCCCAACTGTTCCAGACCATCTGTTGATTAATCCCATCCTGCGCAACCATCAAACCTGGATTGTTCTTGCCCCTTTCTTCCTCTTATCTCTATCCCATCAGTCAACCAGTTCATTCCAGAGTAGGGTGGAAGGGCTGGACCACAGAGTGATTGGACTTCTGGTGTCGGCATCCTCAGCCTTCCCACCATGGCCCCTACATTGGGAGAGGGAGGTGTCCTGAGTGAATAGCAACCCCCCCCAAGCCTTTTGGGAGCAGACACTGGGGCCTGAAAGAGTCACAGTGGCTCCTCCCTGCCCCCCCCCCCCCAGCCCTAATTAGAACCAGTTGTGGTTGGGACTATGCACTACTTGGTATGGGGGGGAGGGGAGACAGGCAGCCAGGGTTGGAGAAAGAAATCAGAAACAAATGGTGGTGTGGTGGGGCCAAGGACTGGCAAAGTGCCCACCATGGTCTGGGCAGTGCCCTTTAGGGTGGGGCACTCTGGAGAATGGTCTGGGAGGGCCTCTGCCTGTGGAAGGACAGGACATCTTGGCACTCACTCTTCTTGCCTGTCTTCTGCCCGGGCAGAGGTGGCACCCCGGAGTAAACGGAGGTGTGTGCTTGAGCGGAAGCAGCCATACAGCGGGGACGAATGGTGCTCCGGGCCAGACAGCGAGGAGGACGACAAGCCCATCGGGGCCGCCCACAGTGAGTACCCTTAGTTCTGTGCCTCGTGGGGCCCTCCAAGGATGCTGCCCTAAGGGAACCTCCTGACCTAGGGCTTTAGGGGATTGTGAGAGAAGTGGTAAGGACCAGGCACCCGGGCTCCTCTTCAGTTCTACTTTAGACTGTTTTGCTACCTCCATTGCGGTAGCCCAGTCCCTGCGTTCCAGGTCTCTCCGGCCATTCCTTTCCCTTCCCCTCTTGTCTAGTCCTCTCCCCTTCACTCCTCAGTCTGGTCCACTCCATAGGGTTTCTCAGGTGGTCTCTTTCCTGGACAACTCACTACTTCTCTAACAGATTTCATGGCCTATGCTGCCACCTACTGGTCAATGGAGGATGGGCAGGGAAGGTCCTGGCTGGGTTCAGCTTGGCTTTGCAAAGCCTGGTTGTGAGACCACACTGGTTCCTTTCTCCAGCCCCTGAATGACTCTCAGAAAGTGCTCAGGGTGCATTGCCAGGACAAGTAGGTGTGAATTGATATCCATTCCTCTCTCTCCCCTTTTTTTTTTGTTTTGTTTTTAAGAGACATGGCTTCTTTGTGTAGTCCTGGCTGTCTTAGAACATACTCTGTAGACCAGGCTGGTCTGAAACTCACAGAGAATCACCTTTCTCTGCCTCCAGAGTGCTGGGATCAAAGGCGTGCACCGCCACCACCTGGCTCTAGCTCTTTAATCCATCCTTATGTACTGGAGATGGAAGACATCTGTGTCCTTGGTGTTTTCCCTCAAACTTATATCTGTTTTGAGAGAAGAGATAGCTTAATGCATAAGACACTATCCAGAGAAGCTTAAACTGTGGGCTGTTATGCTGTTTGTTGGAGACAAGATCTCAGTGTGTAGCCCTGGCTGGCCTAGAACTCACAACCATCATCCACCTCTGTTTCCCCAGGACTGGGATTAAAGGCATCTGGCGTCGCCATGCCTGGTTAGAGTGTGGGTTTTCGAAGGCAGGAATCAGGAAAGGAGGAAGAGCGTGCTGACTGCTGTGTTTAGTCCTTTGAGGAAGGGGTTGTCATGACTGTCACAGAGGACGCAGTCAGCAAATGGGGACTGAGTGGACTCCACAGCTGACTGGGACTGCAGAGGCTCCCGTGGGGCTCACTAGTGCTCGCTCCTCAGTCTCTGAACACTTGAATGGTAGAGTCTTTCGCTGTTTTCTGAGACAGGAACCTTCCTGTTACCCTGAGTTTGTTTCTGTAACATTAGACTGTGTCAGTATAGAAACTCTGAAAGATACAGAGAGATAAAAAGAAGAAGATCCCATGACCAGCCTCTTTTAAATAGACTGCCATTCAGCTGAGACCAGGTCTCGTGTAGTGCGGGCTAACCTCAAGTTTGCTATGTAGATAAGGCTGGCCTATACCTCCCAAGTGCTGGGATTATAGTCTTTTGACACCGCGCCATCCAACAGCGTTCAACTGCGCAGTTGAATTCTTCGAGGAGAGGCAGAACAATGCAGAGGAGCACAGCCCGGGCTCAGAGACCAGGCTGCTTCCCCCGGGAATGCACTTGCGATCTGTATAAACTCGGTTAAGGATTCCTCTTTCTCATCTATAAAAAACGATCTTGTCTGTATAGATTTGATGCAAGGAGAAAGAGTTCAAGCATGCAACATACTTTGAACAGCATTAGTCTGTACTGCTGTGATGGTACGAGAAGGTTCCTTCTTGTGGTAAATTCTGCCTCCCCCTCCATAGCTTCCAGAGCCTATCGTATGTCCTAGTTTATATATTCTTCTTTCAAGGCAGTGCTCGAGGTCAGCTTACTATTGGTGTGGGGCTCATGGCAACACTGCTATGGGGCGGACCAGTGAGGAGCTCATACAAGGACTCTGAACTCAGGTGGCTGCTGCCTTGGTCGAGCTCTGGTCTTATCTGGAAGTGCGGTCACTTGGCACTGCAGTCTGGGGGCTTTGGCTTGAGAGTGGATCTCCCCCTAACCTAAACCCACTGGTGACCAGTAGTGGATCATATCTATATGGGAATGGAGAGTCAGAGAAATTTTGTCTTGGTGCTAAGGGTGGCTTGGCTATTCTGGGAATGTTCCCAGTATGTCAGCCTGGGATATTGTGAAATGCGTGTTTGGTCTCGCCTTGTTCCTGGCATACTGCTCTAAAATCCTGGGAAGCTCCACGCTCATAAGTGTTCTTTTGCATATGTTATATTGACTGGTGTGGCTGCCAGCCTGAGGTAGCTTCAAGATGGAGCTGATGACTGAAAGATCAAAGCAGGATTAGAGGTTGGGGACTTTCAGTCCCACACTCCGACCTGTGTGTGAGGGAGTGGGCCTGAAGGTTCAGTTGGTGACCTGTGGCCAGTGGCTTAAATAGGACTAATGACGAGTCTGTAAAAGGTCCAGAAAGAAGGCTGGGAAGAAGTCTTCCTGAGTAAACACTTGCCCTGCTAGAATCTGTGTTGAGATTCCCAGAAGCTGGATGCAAACTGGGCGTGGTGGCCTACACCTTAATTCCAGCCCTGGTGGCAGAAGCAGGTGGATCTCTGTGAGTTCAAGGTCAACTGGGTTACCAAGCCGGTTCCAGGACTGCCGAGGTGAAACCCTGTCTCAAAAACCAACAAACAAAAACCAACCAAAACAAAAAAGAAAACTAGGTAGTGGTGGTGCAGGCCTTTAATCTGAGTACTGGGAAGGCAGAGGCAGGTGGATCTCTGAGTTGGAGGCCAGCCTGGTCTACAGAGCAAGTTCCAGGACAGCCAGGGCTACACAGAGAAACTTTGTCTCAAAAAACTGAGAAAAGAAAAACAGAAAGCCTTTTTTATATTTATTTATTTATTTATTTATTTATTTATTTGTTTGTTTATTTATTATGTATACAATATTCTGTCTGTGTATGAGCGCAGTCCAGAAGAGGGCAGCAGACCCCCCCTACAGATGGTTGTGAGCCACCATATGGTTGCTGGGAATTGAACTCAGGACCTTTGGAAGAGCAGGCAATTCTCTTAACCTCTGAGCCATCTCTCCAGCCCCAAACAGAAAGCTTTTGCATCGAGTGTAATCCCAGTGATGACAACATAGGACGTCCAGGCAGGCAGGCTTTCTGGACTCACTGGCAAGCTAGAGTGGTGTGTATGAGTTCCAGGCCAGTGTTGGCCTCTGTATGTGTTCTGTGCCCTTAAACTATATGTGTGTACATTCCTGCTTCTGCCCCCACACTCTCTCACACACACACACACACACACACACACACACACACACTCATCCCTGTAACCCTAAAACACCTTCATACATTTTTCCGAGAGCTGACTTGTGTGGGTTTCTGAGTAGTGGTGTGCTCAGAGAGGGCACAGAAACAAATGCTTCTCACCTGCCTTACAAACTTCGTTCATCTCACCTGTCTTCATTTGTAGCATCTTAATTTATGAGTGTGTGTGTGTGTGTGTGTGTGTGTGTGTACACTCCATGGTGCATGAGTGGGGTGGGTAGTTCCCTCCTTCCACCATGTGGGTCATGGGTCCCGGCCAGGCGGTGTCCGTCAGGTCTGGCAGCAGGTTCCTTTACCTAATGAGCCCTCTCCGGCTCCTGTACTATCCTTTGGTAAACTCATAAACAGCAGTAAGGCATTTCCTCCAGCTGCTCTAACATCTAGTTGAATCTGAGGGGTGAATCTCAGAAACCCCAGTTTACAGGCAGACCGTCCCTGAGCTTGGCATTGGCTTCCGGGAGATGGGCAGTACTGTGTTCCTGAGCCCCTCAGCCTATGGGAGAGACAAATGCCAGGCCGTACTGCGGGGACCGCTGCTGCAGGGATTGCTGATGGCTGTGGATGGGGACACACCCCCGTGTGATTCCTGTGACCAGCCTCAGTCTGTGAGAGCAGGAGGGACTTATTCCGTACTGCCTTTCTGGCTCTGTGACGGAAATGGACGGTTGCCTGTGACGGTTGTCCTCGGCAGGGCACAGGGGAGCTGAGTAGTGTTTCCATTTTGTAGGAGAAGAAACTGAGACAAATGCTATGTCTTGTAGAATCAAGTGAGTGGGTGGTGGGGTAGGATGAAAAGTTGTTGGTCGTTTGCATCGCCGTTACTGCGGCTTCCCTGCCTTCTTGCCGGGTCACTGAACAGTATATTCACACACACACACACACACACACACACACACACACACACACACCCCACAGTGGGAGTGCTCCAGAGCAGAGCTAAGCAGAGCTTTGATGTGTGTGCCATGTTCTCCCTCTCCTTCTCTACATGGTCATCATTCTGGCCATCTTGGGCAAAGACTGTAGGGCAAGTCAGCGTTGAGGCAGATTGTGGGGACAAATGGCCCTTTGGGTGTGGACTGTGGTGCAGGAGTGCCCACGGGTTCTTCTTCCCACACCTGGGCCACTCACTTGCTGTCCTTTTTCTCTCTGCTTGCAGATTGTAATGTAGCAGATGCGGCCATGGCGGCCCCACAGCTGGGTCCTGGCCAAACTGCCCAACTGCCCCTCAGTGAAAGCAGTGCACCAGGCCCCCCACATGGTCCTCCGCCAGGGCTTCGACCAGACGTCCCTGGGGGCGGGGGTGGGGGCGTCCCAGGAAAGCCTCCATCACAGTTCGTGTATGTCTTCACTACTCACCTGGCCAACACGTAAGGCTTCGGGCGTGTTGGGGGGTGTGGGGAGATCGGGGGGTGGGGAAAGCGGGGGAATGGGGTGGGGCCCTTGGCCCACCCATGCCCAGTCTGAGCACTTGCAGGGGGCAAGGTGGGCAAGTGAGAGGAGGTTCTCTTCTGTCCATCTCTGAACCGCTTGTGATTGCTCCCCCATGCAGGGCTGCAGAGGCCGTGCTACAAGGCCGGGCAGAGTCCATCCTCACCTACCACCAGCAGAATGTGCCCCGGGCCAAGCTGGATCAGGTGAGTGTGATTCCCTGCCTGGCTCTAAGATAGGTTAAGATGTCCCCTCATCTTAATTCTTTACCTCTGTTCTCCTGCAGGCCCCGAAAGTGCCACCCACCCCAGAGCCACTGCCCCTGAACACACCTTCAGCAGGTACACCACAGTCGCAGCCACCTCCATTGCCGCCACCACCTCCAGCCCCGGGCAGTGCCCCTACTGCTCTGCCCCCAGAGGGACCTCCTGAAGATACCAGTCAGGACCTGGCCCCGAACTCCGTGGGAGCTGCTAGCACAGGTGGTGGGACTGGGGGCACCCACCCTAACACGCCAACGGCAGCCACTGCTAACAACCCCCTGCCTCCTGGAGGAGACACTGGCAGTGCCCCTGGCTCAGCCCTCTTGGGGGATGGCACCCCCACAGGAAATGGGCAGCGGAACCTGGTGGGCTCCGAGGGCCTGTCCAAAGAGCAGCTGGAGCACCGTGAGCGCTCTCTCCAGACGCTGCGAGACATCGAGAGGCTGCTGCTCCGCAGTGGGGAAACTGAGCCATTCCTCAAGGGGCCCCCTGGAGGAGCCGGCGAGGGGGGCCCACCAGCACAAGCTCCCTCTGCCGCTCAGCAGCCTCCCTCCGCCCCTCCCAGTGGGCTGAAGAAGTACGAGGAGCCCTTGCAGTCCATGATCTCACAGACACAGAGTCTAGGAGGCCCCCCACTGGAGCATGAAGTGCCCGGGCACCCCCAGGGTGGGGACATGGGCCAGCACATGAACATGATGATGCAGAGGCTGGGCCAGGACAGCCTGACACCTGAGCAGGTGGCCTGGCGCAAACTCCAGGAAGAGTACTACGAAGAGAAGCGGCGGAAAGAGGAGCAGATTGGATTGCATGGGGGCCGCCCTCTGCAGGACATGGTGGGCATGGGGGGCATGATGGGGAGGGGGCCCCCACCTCCTTACCACAGCAAACCTGGGGATCAGTGGCCACCTGGAATGGGCACCCAACTCCGAGGACCTATGGATGTCCAGGATCCCATGCAACTTCGAGCCGGACCTCCCTTCCCTGGCCCCCGTTTCCCGGGCAACCAGATGCAAAGGGTGCCTGGATTTGGGAGTATACAGAGTATGCCCATGGAGGTACCCATGAATGCCATGCAGAGACCTGTAAGACCAGGCATGGGCTGGACTGAAGACTTGCCCCCTATTGGGGGACCCAGCAATTTTGCCCAGAATGCCGTGCCCTATCCAGGCGGGCAGGGTGAGGCAGAGCGATTCATGGCCCCGCGTGTTCGGGAGGAACTGTTGAGGCACCAGTTGCTGGAAAAGCGGACAATGGGCATGCAGCGCCCCCTGGGCATGGCAGGGAGTGGCTTGGGGCAGAGCATGGAAATGGAGCGGATGATGCAGACACATCGACAGATGGATCCCACCATGTTCCCGGGGCAGATGACTGGTGGGGACGGCCTGGCCGGCACGCCCATGGGCATAGAGTTTGGTGGAGGCCGGGGCCTCCTGAGCCCTCCCATGGGACAGTCGGGGCTGAGGGAGGTGGACCCACCTATGGGGCCAGGCAACCTCAACATGAACATGAACGTGAATATGAACATGAACATGAACCTGAATGTACAGATGACGCCCCAGCAGCAGATGCTGATGTCACAGAAGATGCGAGGTCCCGGGGACATGATGGGGCCTCAGGGTCTCAGTCCTGAGGAGATGGCTCGTGTTCGGGCTCAGAATAGCAGCGGCATGATGGGGGGTCCACAGAAGATGCTAATGCCCTCACAGTTCCCCAACCAGGGCCAGCAGGGATTCTCTGGGAGTCAGGGACCCTACCAAGCCATGCCCCAGGACATGGGCAACACTCAAGACATGTTCAGCCCTGATCAGAGTTCAATGCCCATGGGCTCTGTGGGTACCACCCGGCTCAGCCATATGCCTCTGCCCCCTGCATCCAATCCTCCTCCTGGGTCTGTGCATTCAGCCCCCAACAGGGGACTGGGCAGACGGCCTTCAGACCTCACCATCAGTATTAATCAGATGGGTTCACCGGGTATGGGGCATCTGAAGTCACCCACCCTTAGCCAGGTGCACTCACCTTTGGTCACCTCACCCTCTGCCAACCTCAAGTCACCCCAGACTCCCTCACAGATGGTGCCCTTGCCTTCTGCCAACCCGCCAGGACCTCTCAAGTCACCCCAGGTCCTCAGCTCTTCCCTCAGTGTGCGGTCACCTACTGGCTCACCCAGCAGGCTCAAGTCTCCCTCCATGGCGGTGCCTTCTCCAGGCTGGGTCGCCTCTCCCAAGACAGCCATGCCTAGCCCTGGGGTCTCCCAGAATAAGCAGCCGCCTCTCAACATAAACTCTTCCTCTACCCTGGGCAACATGGAACAGGGTGAGTCATTTGGGTGGACTTGGGTTGGAGCCTTTGTGGGGGTGGATAGGGGCTTTAGTGACATCTGTGCCGACACAGAGCTCCAGGCACATCTGGGCATCTTGAAGGGTCCCACTTGGGACTTGGATTTCCCCACTACAGGAATTACTTAAAGTGATCCCAGTGGGTCAATGGGATCACAGGGAGTCTGTGTTCAGTGGAGCATGCGTGTCCCTGAAGTGAGGTAGACATTTGGAAGGAACTGGCCTTTCCTTAGACTCTCTGAGTATGAGTGGCCGAATTCAGCCTCCCTTCCCCAGTGACCCCTGCTCTCTCTGTCTCTCCACTTCTGTAGGTACCCTCCCGCCAAGCGGCCCTCGGAATAGCTCCTCAGCACCTCCTGCCAACCCTCCCAGCGGCCTCATGAACCCCAGCCTACCGTTCACGTCCTCCCCAGACCCCACGCCTTCCCAGAATCCTTTGTCACTGATGATGTCTCAGATGTCCAAGTATGCCATGCCCAGCTCTACCCCGCTCTACCACAATGCCATCAAGACCATCGCCACCTCAGACGATGAGCTGCTGCCTGATCGACCCCTGCTACCCCCACCCCCACCACCGCAGGGCTCTGGACCAGGTATGAGGAGGCAAAGCTTCCAGGAGAGGCTACAGTGGGTTTGTCTAGCAGTTGTCCCTGTGGACATGCTGGCAAGCTTCCACAGTCTCTAGTCATGGGGGTGGTGTATAAACTCTGGGGCCCTGTTCCAATCGCTACCATCCCTTCCTGAAACCTGGGCTAGAACACATTTGTGGGTGGGGGAGGCACCTTCCCGAGCTGGGTGGGCACAGCCTCTAATGTTCTTCTTTCCCCACAGGCATCAGCAATAACCAGCCCAACCAGATGCACCTGAACTCCGCTGCTGCCCAGAGCCCCATGGGCATGAACTTGCCAGGCCAGCAGCCCCTGTCCCACGAGCCCCCGCCTACTATGTTGCCCTCCCCTACCCCTCTGGGGCCCAACATTCCACTGCACCCCAATGCACAGGGGACAGGGGGCCCTTCTCAAAACTCAATGATGATGGCCCCGGGAGGCCCAGACTCCCTAAATACCCCTTGTGGCCCTGTGCCCAGCTCCTCCCAGATGATGCCCTTTCCTCCTCGGCTACAGCAGCCCCATGGTGCCATGGCCCCCACTGGGGGTGGGGGCGGGGGGCCTGGCCTACAGCAGCACTACCCCTCAGGCATGCCCCTGCCCCCGGAGGACATGCCCAACCAGCCACCTGGTCCCATACCCCCCCAGCAGCACCTGATGGGCAAAGGCATGGCTGGCCGCATGGGCGATGCGTACCCACCTGGGGTGCTTCCCGGGGTGGCATCTGTACTGAACGACCCAGAACTGAGTGAGGTGATCCGGCCCACCCCTACCGGCATTCCTGAGTTCGACTTGTCCAGGATCATCCCCTCTGAGAAGCCGAGCAGCACCCTCCAGTACTTCCCCAAGAGCGAGAACCAGCCCCCCAAGGCCCAGCCCCCCAACCTGCATCTCATGAACCTGCAGAACATGATGGCGGAGCAGACCCCCTCTCGGCCCCCCAACCTCCCGGGCCAACAGGGGGTTCAGCGGGGGCTCAGCATGTCCATGTGCCACCCTGGACAGATGTCCTTGCTGGGCAGGACAGGTGTGCCCCCACAGCAGGGCATGGTGCCCCACGGCCTGCACCAAGGGGTCATGTCCCCACCACAAGGCCTCATGACCCAGCAGAATTTTATGCTGATGAAACAACGGGGTGTGGGGGGCGAGGTCTATACCCAGCCTCCCCACATGTTGTCCCCACAGGGCTCCCTCATGGGCCCCCCACCCCAGCAGAACCTCATGGTGTCCCACCCTCTGCGGCAGCGCAGTGTGTCTCTGGACAGCCAAATGGGCTACCTCCCAGCGCCGGGCAGCATGGCCAATCTACCCTTCTAGCAGGCCCCTCAAGGGGCTGGGGCTGGGGATACTGAGAATACGTTGACTTTAAGAAGTTTTTTCCTCCAGTGTTGGAATGGATGGCCTGGGTCCAGGGGTAGGGTGGAGGGGTGGGAGGGGGCTCGTGTGGGGAGTGGCATTTGTGGAAACCTGATGTGCTGGCAGCTTGCGGGAGAGGCAAGAGTCGGGTGGGGAGTTGGAATTGGGTTTGACTAGGACGGCCCCTCCCCCACCCTTCCTGTTCCTGTGGGGCTTCTATTTCCCTCTGTCTTTCTACTTCTCCCCGTTTTCAGCTATGTTTTGGGGGCCCTTGGGGAGAGAGGAAGGAGAGGAGGGGGTCTTCTATCTTCTGTCCCTTTGGAACTGCCACCTCATTGGTGCTCCAGGTCCACTGTCCCCTCCCAGTTTCTCTGCTTTCCCCCGCCCCCTGTCTTCATTTCCTCTCCTGCTGACATGGCTGACCTCCTCTCCCACGCCCCCTGCAGGCATCTGGCCAGGTGGGCAGGTGCCAGCGGAGCTGTAAATAGAGCTGCGCTTTAGTGCCGGTTTGTGCGTGTGCCGTATTTCTGTGTTTTGATAGAAGTCACACACAAAAAAGAGAAAATTAAAAAAAAAAAACCTTCCCCCTCCTCCAAATGATCGCTCCCACCATTCGCCTGGACCCAGAGACCTAGAGTCCTCTGCACCCTCCATATGCCCCACCCATCAACTGAGGTCAGACCATCTAGGCTAGGCTTCCGTTCGGTGAGCCTGGGAGGACTGAGGCCAACCCCCTCCCCCTGCTATGGCCGCCTGTCTGCTGCTGAGTGAATTCCGGAGAGCAGGTGTGCACTTGAGCGTGTATTTATCCACACCAGTGACATAGGGCCCCTGCCCGGGTGCCTCTGCTGCTACACCTTAGCCAGAACTTGAAGCCCTTTGTCCTCTGGGCAGGTGTGGCCCCTCTGACTGGAGCTATGGAGGGGTTAACACGTGTGACTGCGGCCTATGACTTCAGTGGCCTCGGGCCAGGTAACCCCACAGGGCACAGACTCTTCTAGAAACCACCACTTGCTTCTCACCAAAGAAGGAAGGGACAGAGTTTGGCTGAGTCAGTCAGTCTCCCTCCAGCCTCCACCCCTAGCATGGAGTGAGGAAAGGCAGTGTCGGGGAGACCATCCTGCTGCCTGTCCACTCTGGCAAGGTCTTTCTGCCCAGGGTTTAGGGCCATGTACCAGATCTGTCTCTGCCTGCCTAGGCACAGCCACTGCCTCCCTGTTACTTCCCAGGAGAGCCCCTCACCCACTGCTGGTCAGACTGAAGCCATACAGGAATGGGTGTTTTATCTCCCGTGGCCCCAGGAGTAAAATACTTCTCCTTTCCTCTTTCCTGCCTTTAAGGTGGCGGGCAGCTCCTTGGCCAAGGCCTTCCTGCCCTGCCTCCAGGGCTAAGGGCCATTCTAGACAGGGTGTCTTTTACCGGGACCCTGTCCCCAGCCTTCCTGACCTGCAGGGCCTGGTTTTGCCTTGGCAGCTGTAATACAAAGGGAATTTGTGTCCACTTCTCCCAGTCTGGTGCTGTCCATTGTCAGCCGGGTCAGGCACCGCTCCCCTCCAGAGCTGGCTGCAGGCCCCTGGCTTCCCTCGCCCCTCCCAGGGACCAGAGCCAAGGTCTCTGTCGAGAGGTGGGTGGAAACCTGTCCTCCTTCCTGCCAGACACTCTGCCCTCCCTGCTTCCATCTGGGCCTTTGTGCCCCCCACCCACGTTCCTAGCCTATCCAAATGGTCTAATTGCCCTGCTCTGAGGAGAGAGCGCAGGCCACAAAGGGCCCATTGTCCCCTTCTGGTGTCCTTGTCTCCCACCTCTACCACTAGCTTCCCAAGGTGATCTCCACAGGCCAGCCTTCTCTCCATCCATGGCCATACCCCAGCCATTTTGTACCATTATATAAATATATATATATAAATATAAATATATAAATACAATATGTGAAGACATCTTCTTGGTTTTTATTTTGAAACACTTTTTAGGCTTGCTCTGGGGGTCTCTGTGCTGCCTGTACTGTATTGACCTGTTTTATAGGTGCCTTTTTATTAAAAAGAAAATTCAAAAATGTAAACTCTTGCCTTTTTGTTTCTGTGTCTGGTTTCTCTGCTGCCGAACTGGCTGTCAGATTCTGGGAACAGAAAAGGGAATCCCAAGATGTCTCCAGTTTGCAGTGAGGGTACAGTCTCTGCAACTATAGAACTGATTTCCCTAGTGGGGTTCCCCAGAGAGCTTGTCTGACTGGCTTGAGTGGTACCCGGTAACCCAGCTTCCCCCAACCCCCTCTTCCCTCCTAAATCAGTGGCCTGGAGGAAGAGGAGCTCAGAATTGCCTGCTAGGCTTCCCCTAAGCAGGTGTGGAGCAGCTTCCTCTGGTTCCATTTGAGTAGTACCCTCCCAGGGGCACGGCACCTCCTTCCTGGGGCTCGGGGACTTCCCTGCTCCGCTTGGCTTCTCACACTGCCCTCCCCTGCCCCCCTCTCTCTCCCGCCTTAGAAGACAAGGATCTGTTTCCATTTTCTTTTCCCCCCATTTTATTCATTTATTTATCTATTTATTTATCTATCTATTTATTTATTTATTTATTTTGAGACAGGGTTTGTCTGTATAACAGCCCTAACTGTCTTGGAACTCACTTTGTAGACCTCAAACTCACAGAGATCCGCCTGCCTCTGTCTTCTGAGTGCTGGAATTAAAGGTATGTGCCACCAGGCCCGGTCAGTCTTCATTTTCTTAGCTAAACGCCCCCTCTTCTGAGGCTAGAACCCCTTTGCTATTTCAGTTTCCACGGGTCCTGAGGATTGCAGCAGGAGAGAGAAGTTGGCCTCCTTCCCCATCAGTGCCCAGAATCCACTAGGGCCCTGGATCTTATCTCCCTCACAGTCGGGAAGCTTTGGTCTCTGGGCAGAGAAGACAGCTGGGTTTCAGTTTTACTTGCTCCTCTTTGGCGCCTGGAGACAAAGTGTCTTTCCATTTCTCCACTGGACTGCTTGCCTGCTGGCTTGTCCTCTCCTCTTCTTAGGACACTGGCTAGTCTCCGGGGCCTTCTGGAGTCTGTCCTTGGTCTGTAGTCCAAGATCCAGTAACATGGGGCAGACCCGATGCTGGTTTGGTTGGAGCGAGACAGCTGCCTAAAGTAGATCAGTCTCAGTTTCCTGTTTGCTCAAGAGAACAGCAGGGTTGAAGGGCTGGCACAAAGCTTGTGTTTTGGAGACAGGCACGGTAAGGGCATGCTCTGCTGCCAGCTGGCTATTCCTCGGTGGAACAGAAGTGGTGGGGAGCTGTGGCATGCGGCAAACTTTTAGATGATGGAGTGCATTGTGGGAGGAGATCCTGGGGTCCATGACCAGAGGGAGATGAGACTGTAGGCGCCACCGGCCGAGTGGTTTTCCCTATGGCCGGGGAGAAGTAAAGCTGAGTCTCACATTTGGCTGGTTAGGATGAGAGGTATGTGGAGTGCTCTTAGCCAAGGTGATGCAGGCAGTCCAGAGAGCCCTTGGTCTGCCTTTGGGCTGCTTTTGCCTCCCAGGGCTCTTGGTTAGCCTGAGGGCTGGCAAAAGAGTTTAGGGACATTCTAGAGAGAGTTCTCTAGCTGTCCCCTCTGGGGACATGGCCCAAACAAGCTCTTAGAACCCCGGGTTTTGTTGACTGGGTTTCTAGCATCACTCCAGGCTACCAAGGCAAACAGAAACGGAAAGGGGGTTATGGGAGTTCTGGCATCTAGAAGGTGGTGAGGGAGGTGGCGTTCTCTGACTCAGAGAGACTGCTCTTGCGCCAGCTGGGGAAAACTTGGCAAAGGGAGGCTGGGCCAGCACAGCCCAACTTCGTCAGAAGCCGAGACAAGTCACTGCGGAACTTGACACCAGCGAAAGTGTAGAGCATGGGATTGAGACAGCAGTGGGCCAGGCCCAGGAATTCACACACGGTGATGGCCACAGAGAGATAGCCACTCAGTTCACAGCTGCTGTCCACAGCCTTCAGTCTCTCCAGTGTGTCTAGGAAAATGACAACGTGGTAAGGTGACCAGCAAAGAAAGAAAATACTTGTCACTAGGATGGCCACCCTGACTGCTTTCTGCCGCTGAGGGCGCCGCTGGGCCTGACAGAGTCTGTGTATCACTCCCACGTAACACCAGCCCATCACCAGCATTGGTAGCAGGAAGCCCCCAATGTGGTAGAGGAAGCGGGAGGTGAACCAGGCTTTGGTTTCAGCTTCATTCTCTTGAGAGAAGGTGCACTGTGGCAGGGAGTCATTGTTATGAGGTTGGCCGACCTTGGCAAAGAGGACTTCTGGCAAGGCAAACAGGAAGCCGGCCAGCCAAATGGTGGCGCAGGTGATGTGGATGGAGAAGAGGCGGCGGCGGCGGTAGGCGTGGACAGCGTGGACGATGGCCAGGTAACGGTCTACGGCTATGCAGGCCAGCAGCAGGCTGCTGCAGTAGAAATTGATTTTGTGCAGCGCGATCACAACTTTGCAGAGCACCGTCCCTAGGACCCAGCCCACAGAGCCCTCAGCCACTGCAAAAGGCAGGATAAAGACCAGGAGGAGGTCAGCTACCGCCAGGTGGAACAGGAAGGTCTCCGTCGAGCTTCGAGTGTGCCGGTGCCGCTCCAGGATCACGAGCACCAGGATGTTTCCCATCATCCCCAGGAGGAAGATGAGGCTGTAGGCCACAGGCATGAAGATCGCCTTGAAGGAGGTCAGGAGGGGTCCCTCCACTGTGGAACAGAACTGACTTTCCTGTGAGGGGATCTCCGTGCTGCTATTGTAGATGGCCCATTCCCTGTACTGCAAAGACAAAGAGAAAGAAAAATAAGAAACGATAGCCCTATCCTTTCTCTCTGAGAGGAAACTCTCTGGGATGTTTCCTGTCCTAGGCTAACTGCTGCTTGTCTGCATTATTCCATTTCCCCTTGGTGTATCCTTGAACAGATTTCAGCATCTTTTCCTCCCTCCCTCCCTCCCTCCCTCCCTCCCTCCCTCCCTTCCACTATTATTCTTAGACAGGATTTCCCTATTTATCCCTAGGGATATATGTGGAATTTACTGTGTAGACCAGGTTGGCCTCAGATTTGGGTGGTTCTTCTGCCTCTGACTGCTGAGTGCTTGAGGTATGATCTTTCTCTTTCTCTATTTTTGTAATCTTACTCCTATTTTACAGATGCCTCTTGCTCAAGAGGAGGCTTGATTGAAGGCACATTTGCCTGCCTCCAGAGCCACTACCTCTGCCACTGAGCAACACTACCTAAGCGTCCCTGCAAAGCCTGCTGGGGGCGGGGCAGAGACCGAGTTTCCAATTACTTCCCAACCAGAGAGCAAACTCCCTAGGCACAGGAACCCAGCAGAGGCAAGAAATGAGTCACAGACAGGGAGACCAGGCGCAGGGAAGGAAGGGAGCCTGTTCTGAGTGGGAAAGAAAGGGGCGTGCCTGTTACATCTCTGGAACTTGCTACCTCCACATCCTCCCCGCCCTCTGTCGCCGCCCTCCATCAGCCGGGCTCTCAGGTTGTTTGCCTGCTAACCACAAAGGAAGACAGAGTGCCTGTTTTCATTCCTTTCACTCACAGCTGCTCTGCACCTGCTGTTCCTCACCTCCCCTCTCTGTTCTTCCTGCCTTCCCCTCTTCGACCTCCTCCCTGGGCAGGGGCTGATGCAAAACCAATTACACCCACCCAACAATGGGTTCAAAAGATAGTGACGGAACAAACGATGAGCCCCAGGGAGGCCAGAGACAGTGGGTGGTCAGTCCCCTAGGCTGGGGAAATTCATACTGACCCTCTCTCAGGAGAGTGGGTCTCCTGCAAGCAGTGATGGCTTCACCCGTTATCTCAGAGCTTTCTTGCCACCCAGGTACCCTAGTTGTAGGTCACACACTCACTTCCATGGGTAAACCTATTCCTCATCTTGGTCTTTTGGTCTCTGGAGCAGGTGGTTCTTTAAGAAGGAATGGGGACTCGTGGTACAATGGTGATGCTATCTACCACCCTCTTCAGTGTCTCCTTCTCCTGCCATTACCTAAGCACCACCCTTCATCTGATCTCTCTATTAATCCTTTTTTAAAAAAAATATTACCGGGCGGTAGTGACGGATACCTTTAATCTCAGCACTAAGGAGGCAGAGGCAGGCGGATCTCTATGAGCTTGAGGCCGGCCTGGTCTACAAGAACTAGTTCCAGGACAGGCTTCAAACCTACAGAAAAACCCTGTCTCAAAAAAAAAAAATATTAAAATTTTATTTTGTGTGTATGGGTATTTTGCCTGCGTGTATGTATATGTAGCATGTGTGTGCCTGGTGCCCTTAGAGGTCGGAAGAGGGCATTGGCTCCCCTGACACGAGTTATAAATGGTGTGAATCACCATGTGGGTGCTGGGAACTGATCCCCAGTCCTCTGCAAGAGCAGCCAGTGCTCTTAACCACACAGCCATCTCTGCAGCCCTCCAGGTCCTTTTCTTGTTTGATTGTTTGTTTGTTTTTGTTTTTCAAGACAGGATTTTTCTGTAGCTTTGGAACCTGTCTTGGAACTAGCTCTTGTAGACCAGGCTGACCTCAAATTCACTGAGATTCGCCCGCCTCTGCCTCCCAAATGCTGGGATTAAAAGACAATTAGGGCTGTTACACGGAGAAACCCTGTCTTAAAAACCAAAAAAAAAAAAAAAGTTGTCTTTTTGTCTTTGTCTTGTTCTCCTAATTTCATATTCAATAATAAAGTCATTTATAAAAAGCCATTTTTGTGATAATGTCTGTCAGCAGAAAGATGGGTCAAGTCAAGCTTCACACAGCAGAATGTAGCATGTACTTGGGAGAAAATTAAGTTTACAATGTGTCTGTTCTCTTAGGGAAAGACTTTGAACACACATGGCTCAATTTCAGAACCAATGACAGGGCATCCATACAGCACAAAGGACACAGAAGTACCTGGGGCTAGGGTTCCCAGCTCCTCTCCTTGCCTTTAAACTAGAGAGCTTCACTTTTGACTCCATGGTTTAAACAAACAAACAAACCACAGAGCTCGGCTAGGCATGGTGACATATGCATTGGGGAGACGGGAGAGAGGATCAGGAGATGAAGGATGCTTTCATATACATGAGTTCCAGGCTAGCCTGTGCTGCTTGGGTCCCTATAACAAACAAACAAGCAAACAAGGCTGTCAATTTCTGGAGTAGAGCACTTGCCTCCCATGGACAAAACCAGAGCCTGAGTATGAGGAAAACGGCCCTACACTCACTAGGAAATAGTGGTCTTGTGAAATGGGGTCTGGATGCCCCAGAGAGAAGCCTTACATTCCTCTAAAAGGGGCTGAGGGTGTCTCTCAGAGGCAGGATGCTTACCTAGCATATACAGAGCCCTGATTTTGAGCCTTAGCCCTGCAAAAATAAAAATAAAAGTTTCCAAAATGTCTACTCCTTTGATGTGTCAAACTGTATCAGGTACCCTACGCCTAAGGGATGCATTCTACCAGCTGCCTGCCCGCAACAACCCAGACAGCTTCCTGACACCTTCGCCAAGTTCTTCCTTGTTCAAGTCTGCCTCTCTAAACCCCTGGCCTTCCTTTGGGGTCCAAGTCAACCAACCCCATCATCCTCCATCCTTCCTAGCCCCTTCTGCTAGGAATCCCTGGCTGCCTAGGGCTCAGGGGAACTCACATCGCCTTTGCATCTTTCTGTAAATCCTGCCTCTGGGGTCTAACTTAGGTTCCCTGTCCCTAGAGGGAGTTGTTTCCAATAGAACAGTGGGACAGAATAGTTGAAAACAACCTTTTGACTCTGACTCTGCTATAGGAGGTGGAGGGGACACTGTGGGGTGAGCGGTCCTTGTGCAGACAAATGGTGGAGATGTGATGAAGGCCTGGGACAGGGAGGTATCTGGATGCCACTCACCCTGACAGCTGCTGAAGCTGGCCACTCCCCTGTCCAGGGAAGCGTGTGAGTCTAGCTGGTCTGGCCAAGCGGCCCTTTATGATGACTGTTCAAGTTTTTCACCTTACAAAGCCTCTAGGCTGATCAACTCATTGTTCATTCGAAGTTCAATCAGTGGGACATTTCCACGGGGGGGGGGCCGGTTTAGGGGGTGAGTGCCTACCTCTCCCTCCCTGCCAAGAGGTATTGTTTTGGCAGAGTCTTCAGAGGAGGAGAACATGGGAGGAAGCTGGTTTGGTACATATCAAAGAGAGGCGTCAAACCGATGATTTGGAGCACAAGAGTGTTAAAGCCACTTCCTACCACGCGTGCGCGGGCACTCCTCTCCTCTAGACCATGGAGAGAAACCGTAAGGTTAGGTTGCCTCTGGCCTGGTGGAAAGACGGAGAATGAGATATCCACAACACAGTGGGACACATACTGTCAAAGGGAGCTGCCTGGTTCCCGCTCAGGGAGAGCACAGGGTCAGCGGTGGGACGAGTGGCTCACTCCCACTGTGATGGCAGCACACACACTACACAAATGTGCCCAGAGGGACCACAGTGCCAGGCTCCACAGGCAGGAACCCAACAGAGCACAAACAGCTTACAAGCTATCGGGATACACGCCCCCCCATCGGAAAACGTGCTGCCTGGAACGAAGACAGGTGTGAGTTGACAGGAACGCACTGAGAACTCCGGGGTAGGAGGATGCCTAGCTGGTCCTGGTGTTAGGGATGGGGTAGGCAGAAGAGGTCAAGAGATGCCAAGTGCTTCACCCATGATGGGATCCACAGATGGTCCTCTTTCTACCCGTATTTTCTCTAAGCCAAGACGCTGCTTTGCTGCCTTGAGCCCTCTAGCAGGCAGTTCTGCTAGGGCAGCCGCTCTCAACCTGGGTCGAGACCCCTTGGGAAATGGAACAGCCTTTACATAGGGTCCCATATTAGATATCCTGCATATCAGGTCTTTACATTACAACTCTTAACAGTAGCGAAATTCCAGTGATGAGGTAGCAATGAAAATAATTTTATGGTTGGGGTCACCACAGCATGAGGGATTGTATTAAAGGGTGGTAGCATCAGGAAGGTTGAGAACCGCTGTGCTAGGGTTTACTGACAGGATTTCTCTGAGAGCAGGGAGGGGGACATTCCTCAAGGCTCCACGCTGGATTTTCCTAGCACCCAACCCTGCTTTGGATGGGGCATGACTGGGAACATTTTTTTTTTTTTTTGAGACAGGATTTCTCTGTAGTTTTGGAGCCTGTCCTGGAACTAGCTCTTGTAGACCACACACACACACACACACACACACACACACACAGATACACACACACACACTTGTCTTGGGCAATGGATCATGGGAAAAAAGACTTGGAAGTTTGTTGGCTGACAGACGGGTCACCAGTGAAAAGGCCGGCAGAAGGCTGTCCTTGTCCTCTAGATGAGGGGAGAGAAGCCTTCTCCAGGTTGGTTACTTCCATTTGGAAAACCGTGGCCTGGAAAAGCATTTCCCAGTGCTAGGAAGGTGGGACACACGCAGAGAAGCCTGAAGTCCTTGAACTGTCTTCAAGGATAGGGAAGGGCCCTGGGTTGGGAGGACAGGCAGAGCTGGACTCTGACGTGAGCCTCAGGTGTAGACCAGGAGACATGAACAGTCCAGCCAAAGGAGGGACAGCTCTGTAAGCATGACATTCAGCAATGGGATGTCTTTGAGTTCAAGTGCAAGGGGAAAATTCCTGCCTCAGGAAAGAGGCTGGACTACTTCTGCCTCTCACCAATGCTCTGGTAGTCAGTCAAGCCCCGCCATTCACCACCCCAGCAGGCTCTACTTCTCTAGCCTGCCCTGCAGCTGGTGAACGCCCCAGGCTACCCCAGTTCCTAGCCCAGGACTC